GTTGATTTCGTGAGCTCTTGGGTTGTTGCTACTGTAATCGGGAATTTGATCTGTGTAGGTGGGCTTCCGATATACTACAGTTTTCTTGTGTCGGTTCTGGTGATTAATACATCCAAGAATGGTAGTTTATTGTTCTACTCCTGTTCCATTGTGAACTTGCTGTCATCTAATAAGTTGTTGATCAGATTGTAGGTGTTTTGAGCTCGCCCTTTTTGACGATGATGAATGTGTCGTCCACATAACGAATCCTCATATTTGGCTTGATTACCGGTAAGATCAAGGCTTTCAGTCTCTTCCTGACTGCTTCTGCGATAAGTCTTGATATTGGTGACCCCATCGGTGTTCCTTTCATTTGTTCGTAGATTTTGTTGCTGAGTTGAAAATGTTGTTGAGCATAAATCGATGAGTTCTAGTAAACTTTGACTTTAAAGCTTCGTTTGCTTTAACAGATTTGTGTCGTTGGTGAGAAGCAGGAGTAATGTTTCCTTTGCTATGCTTGGTTCATTGGAGGTGAAAAACCTTATTGACCTTAATTGAACCAAGTTTAACAAGGGAAACACTATCCCTGCTGCTTATCTACTGGGATTCCTTTAAAATGAAAGTTATTCACGCTAAACATTTTCTCCATGGTTTATTTAAATTACTACTATTGTATTAATGAAATTTTTCGTTGTCCAAGGTTAAATCATAACGATCAGTAAATGCATAAGTATAGACTACATGAAAAGTTCTGAAATGTTGAAGATCAGTAGCTCATGTTGATGCTTTCGGTTGTGTTTTCTGAACTAGGTGGTTTATTTGCGAAGCTTTCGTTGTCGTTCCGGACAACATTATCAGCTCTTATCTCACGTAGAAGCATTTAGTCAATCCATAAGTGTTAAATTAACCTGCTTCGATGACCTTGTCTGTGAATGGTTATTTTTTGCGGTTTTGTCAGTCTTGTTTGGCTTTGTGTTTCACTGAATTGAAAAGCTCAATTCTACTTGAAATAAGCTCCAGAATGATAATAACAGCCTCACAATTAGATCATCCAGCTCACAATAATACACAACTAAAATGAACATTTCTATTTAACGTTTAGTCTTTAGTGTAATGAAAGGAAAACTGCTTCCGGTAATTTGGTAGTAATTTGATGTAGAGACTTGAATATGCTTCTATCTGACAATCAAGATTTACACTAACTAGATAAATCATTCATTTCCGTTAATTCTCCAGCTTATAATAGTCTATAATGAAAAAACGTATATTGTTAGGAAGTGTGGCAGTTTGAACTAATTTAATAACGTATCGAATTATTGTATTGTTGTATCTTTTTCGTCCCCTACATTTTCATTTTAAGCTTAGTGGTTATCAATATTTCTATGGCTCACCTCTCTCTACATCAAATACAGATGGATTATTATTTTGAAGTGTGATAATCATCTTGTTTCTCATACTCTCTCTGTTATTTTTTTCAATTGGTTCTTCATCACGGCTCTACATAAATAGATAGGTTTTAACATCAAGTATAAAATCAATACCAAATAAATGGCAGTAGGGTGATTTCGAAATGTAATTCAATATTTCCTCTAAAGATATTAATCAATTACTATCATATCGAATTCAGAATTGGAACTAAAACGAAATTTTTTTATTAGGATCACGAATCGATGAATGTTAATACCACCATTGAAAATCTGGAAGAGCTGGACGGCTGTTTCGTCTTAGTATGAGACTCCTCGGCATTGCGCGCCCACGATCCCGCATGCGGGATTCGAAGCCAAGACCTTCGTTCTCTTGCGCGAGCGCTTAACCTCTAGATCACTGAGCTGACCGGCATTAAATGGTATAAATATCTAGTTACAATCAATCCACGAAATTGTGCGACCATCTTCGATTGTCTGAGGTAGTTATCTGTCTCTACCTGACACGGATTAGCTCCATTGGTCACGGCTTCTCATTAGAACTCCGAGAATTACCTCACGACGGTAGTCAGTAGTTAGCACATGGTAATTATTAGTGTAGGGTTGTGGAGATTGTTAAGTTTTTGATTGAGATCATGAATCTATGAATTTTGGACCACGATCGAAAACCTGACCAGTGGACCTAATCCGTGTCAGGTAGAGACAGATAACTACCTCAGACAATCGAAGATGGTCGCACAATTTCGTGGATTGATTGTAACTAGACATCTATACCATTAAATGCCGGTCAGCTCAGTGATCTAGAGGTTAAGCGCTCGCGCAAGAGAACGAAGGTCCTGGCTTCGAATCCCGCATGCGGGATCGTGGGTGCGCAATGCCGAGGAGTCTCATACTAAGACGAAACAGCCGTCCAGCTCTTCCAGATTTTCAATGGTGGTATTAACATTCATTGATTTGTGGTCTCAATCAAAAGCTTAACAATATCTACAACCCCACAGTGATAAAACAAAATTAGTTAATCGGTTGATCATTGGTACCAGTTACGTAAGAATCGGAATAAAAGTTAGATAAATTTGAAATCTAAGAAGCGTTTATTTAAGTAAATTTATAATATCACTATAAATTAGGAGGCTTGATAAACTTTCTCTTTACACAAACACTGGGTTTATTTATATGTATTCCTATTGCTTCTGATGTTTGTAAGAGATAAGTTCAATGAAATCTTATAAATAAATTTCGATATCCAGATATGCTTCGACATTGCGGCTAGTAGTCAGTCAGTTATACACAACGTAGAATCTAGTACACATGTCAATCAATTCTATCAAACTTGACTGTTTCTTCTGCAAAAGATCAATCAATTGTCTCAGACTTCACTGTTCCTTCATTTCTACAGCAATCATTCTCTGTTCTCGTTCTCTTTTCTTTGATTTTCTTAACCTTCTGCTTCCAGGTATTTCACTTTCAATTGATGGTATTACTTATATCTATCGACATCTGTAGCTCACACCACAGTACTACTATACTTAGTGTAGTTCCAGAAACTTCTAGGAACCCAAGGCCACCATAAGTACCCTCAATTTTCTGTACATAAACTAACCTTGGAGTAAAGTGTTCTTTTCACATTTCACGCCTTTTTTGTTCCGTGTAGATTTAGCCTGAGGTAATTAGAAGCATTTAGGAAACTGATTCGAGCGTTCAATTAGCAGACTTATCAAATTCATCCAACGTCTCCAATTATTAGATACGATAATCGTGCAAACCGAACCAGGTGATATACATCTACCTACAAGGTTCAATCCAGCAGCAACGATTGCATAAACTCATACCATGTTACCTAATGTTTTCCTAACTTACCGCTACATCAACCAATATCGATACGGTGACCATCAACTAGATTGTAAATAGATTTTTACAAAAAAGATAAATATGAAAATAATCATACTGTTTTATTTTTGCTCTTACCGAATCCTATTTTGTAACTAATCCATTAGTTCTTAATTTCAATTTACTGGTGTTGATATTTTACATACCTTATCGATGTTACATAGTTACACATTTATGCATAAACACAATTTACTGATTTTTATTGACGTTTTTTCAATGAGTATCATTCTAATTTTTATGTGTTTACATTCTTCTTAAATATTTCCATATATTAAATCATGTGATCATTTTGTGTAGGTCATTATCAAATATACAAATGTGTAACCACTTTTATTAGCGTTTCTACGTGCCTTATTTTAACAAGTTTCACTACTTTTTTCATTTTTATTTAAATTCTTTATGGGCACGATTCTAGACAGTCATCGTCAGTTTAGTAGTACGTAAAGTGAATGCTATACGTTACACTAGCACGAGGAGAGGAAACAGAAAGATAATTACGACAACATGAAAAATAATAATGAGAGTAGTGGGGGTCTAAACGTAAAACATAGTTTATAAGAAACAAACGCGATCGGAGATGAAAAGTTAGGGATGATGGTGTTCTATTTTTAATCGAACAGATTCTTGAACTGTATTGAGGCGCGCATAATTGGGTCGTTTATTATAGGAGCAGTTGTACTATATAGTCCGATTATTGACTTACTCTCTTATATTCTCTGTAGCCTTCCTTTAACTTGGCATCCATTCGGAAGACGAAGTTAGCAAATGATATATAAAATCCTAAATACAATTATTTAGTAATGTAGTCTTATTCCATATCTTGTCGTATTATTTTAGTAATGACGATTATTATTTACAACTATTTGACTTATCGGTATCAATGCCAAGCTCGGATTTGATAATTTCAAACAAATTGAACATTGGATAGAAAGTTAATAAAAAATATTTTTTTGTTATATCCCAATGAGTAGAAAATTTGTGTTTCTAACGTTTCGTACAATTGTACTATTTAAACTTGTGTTTATTTATTTTGAACATTTGTTCACTCTGAAGAAGTGGCTTACATGGAGTCACGAAATGTCAGAAATACAATTTTTCTACTCATTGAAATATAACAGAAAATATATTTATCATTTGAATTATTGATGTTTTAGACACAAAATTATTCTTATAATGATGATCAAACGTATTTCTAATGTGGTACTACTCACCGAAACATACTAGATAGAAGAAGTACCAATAGTGCAATAAAAATACACTGTAATTAAATTTCATTTCAGTAGATTAAAATAAAAGTATAACTATACTATGACATCAATAAACATGCTACCTAGTTTTAGTGAGAAACCTTGTCAGAGGCATTGCAGTTACCTACCAGTGTAATTGGATGATGGTTGTCCGATATTACTGATTGATTAAGTTTAGAAATATAAATGGTTGATTATGAATTCAATGGTCTAAAGTTGAACCCCTCTCTGCAAGACCTGAAGGTCTAGAGTCCGACCCCTGGCCTGGTTGTAAATCTGCACTACTGGAAAGTCTCATACTATATATATATATATATATATATATATATATATATATATATATATATATATATATATATATATATATTGATGTCTACTTACTATGTTTAACACTACTATGCATATGTACCAATTGATGCTTCGTAATTGTACATTATTTAATACTACTATTCATAATTCGTAGAAAATATGTCAACTATGGTTCAACACATACTTCGTAGTACATGGAGAAGGGTCATCTAATTGTGTATCCAGTTCTAAGGTAGATTTTTTGTATCATTTGGATTTCATGCATCTAGTATTTATCAACGTTTCATTTTCCATTAATTATCCATTTTAATGTTATTTAAAAAGACTTCGTAACAATGGTATATATATATATATATATATATATATATATATATATATATATCCTCGTATCATAGATCAACACCAACTGACTCCAACTTTCCATCAATGCTACATTCAAAAAGAGACTTTACTTAAGATATATAAATTTTATGTTATTGATAAGTTTGGTTGAAGGATGGATTCATAGATACCTATCTTCGAGATCTGTGAACGGTCGTAAGAAATACGTAATGCGACTACACATAGCTTCGTAGTGGTCTTTCTTAGGTGATTTCCCTACAATGTTGATACCATTTTATAATTGCTCTTTTAGAAACTGATACAACCCTTCAGATACTGTAACTTGTGGTCTAATCACCCGATCAGTAATCATGAATATAATTTCGAAGTTAATTGGAATGAATAAAAAATGAACCAGTTTCGAATAGATTTTGTAGACCAGCTAACAGCATAGTAACATAAATTCATTTCCAGCAGGCTCGTGCTCATCCCAACATACTTCACCTTCACAATCCCATATTAGTGTACTTTTTTCACGTTCCATTGGAATGTTTTCTGAGAAAATTCCATCCAAGCGTCATCAATTCATCTTCAACACCACCTATTTCATCTTCGTTAGAAGTTTTGCTGTTTTAAATAGCTGCTGTGACTCTGCTCGTTCTCCATTGGTGCACCGGTAAGCCTCAACTTGACAGAACCATCTGTTATTTATATAGTTTCATATATAAATATGTCGAAGAGGACAAAGCAATCTTCTGACTGGGCCGACCTCGAGTGCTTTATTCCAGTGAGTTTAACGGTATTCTAGAAATGCCGGTTTTGAAATATTAAAGCTAGACATTATGTTCTAGTTATGGATTGTAGTCATTTAATGAGGCGATGAACCTACTTAGATTATAACTCACTTACTAAGTACAAGTTGTGTATTCGGCTTTCAGTCACACTCTGTAAAACTAAATCTGTTGGGATTGCCACATTATTGCATAGTTCTGTCTTCCCTGATATTCTCTACTGGCTGAAGTAGACTTAGTTTAGAAAACACTGTCGAATGACTTTTTGATTTCAGTTGTATGGAGAGATATAGACTTATTTGGTGAGAACCTCTAGATTAGTAGTTAAACAAATCTATATAACACTGAATGCTTATCAGGATGTATGACTTCATGTTTTTACCAAACTTATGAAATTAATTGCTGATTTTACAAGCGTCTGATAGACTAGTACTGGATTTTAAACGAGGAAACAATTGCACAATTTGTTTCGAATTTAAAAAGTAGAACTTTTCTCTGCTTTTATTTCAGCAAGGTTTTAACAATGACCACTGTACATGTGCATTTCCACCATCAACAATAGCATCATCATCTCGTGGATCATTACTTGGTCATTCATTTCTAAAATTACCGCTCTCTGAATTAGATAAAGCTTATAAAGGGAAGTCGAAATTCTTGACATCAGAATGTAATGTAAGTTTTCTCATTCTATACTTTATTGATTTGATTAATGAGAATAAGTGTCACGTTGACTTTGTGGTAAAAGTGTTCAACTTCCCGCCAACTGGGTCGCAGGTTCAAATCTCGTATCATGTAATTCTGTTTGAGAGACCTAGTGTAGTGTTTGTACGAAGTGATGGATGCTTTGGCTATAATTGCGCGTTTTTTTTCGTAAGTGCAATCCAATACATTCACAGTGTTCTCAATCCTTCAAGCTCTGGTTCATTCTTAGCCAACAGGGTACGTTTTGAATAGATCTCGGAGTTTCTATTCCATACATCACGTTCTATATTTTTACTTATTTCTGCCTAGTTAGTATCATTGTTCCTCTAGCTTAAAGTGTGAATCAATGCCGAACATATGAATCTGAACTTGATAAATAAGTTTCCTTCCAAAATTTTCCATCATTTCGAACGATAAATAGTATATGGATAACGTTATTACTAGTGATACACAGAGCTTGTGTAGATCGTCAAATTTGTAGTTTAACGACACTAAGGTCAATCCGTAATGTGATAATCGACTACCCAAGCCACCAAGTTGCTGCTCTACTTTCTATTCTCTCAGTCACGAATCTACATTTTAGACTCGTTTTCTGTTTCTAGCAAATGATGTTTAAAATATAAAGAGAACTCATTATTTAGACTCATGATCAATTTTGCAGTTCCAGATTATTTTTGAGTTAGCACACTAGAAATAAGAATAGAACACTGAATAAGAAGTATAAATCGGTCACTACATATTGAGAAATATCATGTTGACTGATTTGTATAGATCGATAGATCCAATGTTGTGAATAGACTGGTTCACAAAAGTCATTTAACCAGATTAAGCAGTATTTTAATCTGTGGATGTAAGTGATTGTAGAAGGTTGGTTGATGTTATTACCCTTCTGTTTACTGTTTTGTAGACTGTTCAACATACAAGATTATTTTATCTGTTGATTTAAGATCAACTACTCTTATTATTAACCATTTGGCTTGTTATCATCCAGATTAAAATTGATTAATCATCAATAATTAGTGTCTAACTTAATACTAACTAGATGTATTTTATTTTCGCTCGATAGTTCTAGTTATGATTACCACTAAAATTAATTTTTTTTCATAAGATATTTACCGTGGTATTAATAATCATCTTTGTTGAAATGAGTGAATTAAGTTAAAGTTTCTAGAAACTGTTACATCTGACAGAATATATAGGAATTTGTCTAATATTTAGTATCGTAGCCGTTAGTTAAAATAGTTATTTGCATCTCTTGATTCTAACTTTAGAATAAATATATATGTCCGTTCAAACTTTTGAGATATTTACTACCAAACATTCATTGTTTTAACAAAATTTCTCACTTTAGATTGGTTTTAGTTGGACAGTTATATATATATATATATATATATATATATATATATATATATATATATATATATATTCCTCCTGGAGTCCCTCCGGGGGCCACTGCCGGTCCCAAACCTGGATAAAGGAGGAGGGTTGGGCATGGGGTTAGCGACCCCATCCCGTAGAAATCTAAATCGCTAAAAAACGCTAACCAGAAAAAATTATTTAAACCATTTAAACTCTGCCCTGGGAGTCATAAGGTTTAGAAGAATTATGGCGCCTCATGATGAAAGCCGAGTTCCTTCGGAAGTCATGAGTCCGATGCCCCTTCTGACAACCAGAGCAACCATTTATTTAGGTACATGGAATGCTCGTACAATGTGGGAGACTGGGAGAGTTTTCCGAATTGCTGCAGAAATGAGGAGATACGACATCGAGGTGCTTGGTATCAGTGAAACACATTGGACGCAAGTTGGACAACAACGACTAGCTTCAGGGGAGCTGCTGTTATACTCCGGACATGAACAAGAAAATGACCCACATACACAAGGAGTTGCATTGATGCTGTCCAAACAAGCACAAAACGCACTTATAGGATGGGAATCTCATGGACCAAGGATCATCAAAGGCTCTTTTAAAACAAAGAAAGAGGACATTACAATGAACGTCATCCAATGCTACGCGCCTACTAACGACTAAAATGAAGACGCTAAAGATCAATTCTACGATAGGCTGCAGTCAATCGTCGAGAAGTGCTCAACAAAAGACCTGACTATTCTGATGGGAGACCTAAATGCCAAGGTTGGAATTGACAACACCGGATATGAAGAGATCATGGGACGACACGGACTGGGAGAAAGGAACGAAAATGGTGAGAGATTTGCAAATCTATGTGCCTTCAATAAACTGGTCATAGGCGGGACTATATTCCCACATAAACGCATACACAAAACCACATGGACTTCACCGGATCACACCACACAGAACCAAATCGACCATATCTGCATCAACAAAAAGTTCAGGAGGACGATGGAGGACGTGAGAACCAAGAGAGGAGCTGATATAGCCTCAGATCATCACTTGCTGGTCGCCAAGATGAAATTGAAACTCAAGAGGCACTGGACAACGGGGCGGACAATATCACAAAAGTTTAATACGGCTCTTCTTCGGGATACTGACAAACTCAATAAATTCAAGATAACCCTCAGCAATAAGTTTCAGGCCTTTCATGATCTACTCAATGGCGAAGGAACTACTATGGAGAGCAACTGGAAAGAGATAAAAGAGACAATCACTTCAACATGTCATGAGGTTCTGGGCCAAAAGAAGCACCATCACAAGGATTGGATCACGGTCGATACACTGGATAAGATTCAAGAAAGGAGGAATAAGAAGGCAGCAATCAATACCAGTTGAACAAGAGAAGGAAAAGCCAAGGCACAAGCTGAATACACAGAAGTAAACAAGCAAGTGAAGAGGAGCATCAGAACTGACAAACGTAAATATGTGGAGGATTTGGCAATGACGGCGGAAAAGGCTGTCAGAGAAGGAAACATGAGGCAACTGTATGACACAGCGAAGAAACTCTCTGGAAATCACCGTAAGCCAGAACGACCAGTTGAAAGCAAGGAAGGCGAAGTAATCACCAACATCGAATAACGGCGAAACAGGTGGTTAGAGCACTTTAGGGAATTCTTCAATCGACCAGCTCCGCTGAACCCACTCAACGTCGAAGCAGCATCCACAGACCATCCATTAATGTTTACTCACCAACAATTGAAGAGATTAGCCATCAGACAAATCAATAGTGGCGAAGCAGCAGGACCAGATAGCATTCCAGCAGAGGCACTGAGAACAAACGTAGCGGTAACTGCGAGGATACTCCACGTTCTCTTTAGAAAGATTTGGGATGAGGAACAGGTACCAAAAGACTGGAGAGAAGGACTTCTGGTCAAAATACCAAAGAAAGGCGATCTCAGCAACTTTGACAACTACAGGGGAATCACTCTTCTTTCAATACCAGGAAAAGTCTTCAACAGGGTATTGTTAAACAGGATGAAGGACTCCGTAGACGCACAACTTCGAGACCAACAGGCAGGATTCCGTAAGGATAGATCGTGCACAGACCAAATCGCAACTCTACGGATCATTGTGGAACAATCAATTGAGTGGAATTCATCACTCTATATCAACTTCATTGACTACGAAAATGCATTTGATAGCGTGGACAGAACAACCCTATGGAAGCTTCTTCGACACTACGGCGTGCCTGAGAAGATAGTCAATATCATACGGAATTCCTATGATGGATTAAACTGCAAAATCGTGCATGGAGGACAGTTGACAAAGTCTTTTGAAGTAAAGACCGGTGTCAGGCAAGGTTGCTTACTCTCACCCTTTCTCTTTCTCCTGGTGATCGACTGGATCATGAAGACGGGATACAGTGGACATCTAGGATGCAACAACAAATGCAGGAGAAGACGACCAGTGTAGCAGCAGCCTCAGCTGCAATAGGTCTCAATATACACAAAGGGAAAAGCAAGATTCTCCGATACAACACAGCATGCAACAATCCAATCACAATTGACGGGGAGGATTTGCAAGATGTAGAAACCTTTGTATATTTGGGCAGCATCATCGATGAACAGGATGGATCTGATGCAGATGTGAAGGCACGGATCGGCAAAGCAAGAGCAGCATATTTACAACTGAAGAACATCTGGAACTCACTCAAAACAACTGTCAACCAACACCAAAGTCAGAATTTTCAATACAAATGTGAAGACAGTTCTACTGTATGGGGCCGAAACCTGGAAAACCACGAAAGCCATTATCCAGAAGATACAGGTGTTTATTAACAGTTGTCTACGCAAAATACTTCGGATCCGTTGGCCAGACACTATTAGCAACAACCTACTGTGGGAGAGAACAAACCAGACTCCAGTGGAGGGAAGAAATCAGGAAGAAGCGTTGGAAGTGGATTGGACACACATTGAGGAAAGCACCGAACTGCGTCACAAGGCAAGCCCTCACATGGAATCCTCAAGGTCGAAGGAGGAGAGGAAGACCAAAGAACACATTACGCCGGAAAATGGAGATACACATGAGAAAAATGAACAACAATCGGATGGAACTAGAAAAGAAGGCCCAGAACAGAGTGGGTTGGCGGTCTATGCTCCATTAAGAGTAACAGGAGTACTGCGTTAATCAAGTCGAATCATAACGATTGTTGGTGTATTTTCCTCTTAATCTGTCCTTTAAAAAATGCGTTGGTATAAAATTCATACATCAGGTACATTAAGCGAACAAAAAGCAATTTTTATATTGATAAAATTAATCGAGAACGCTTGTGGATGATGGATGGCGGTTAGCCACCGTAGTATCATTTTCACAAGTTTTATGGAAATTTCTGCTCCTCCGTGCTAATAATCAAACATGCGGTATTAAATAAAGAACAGGGATCTGTATACGATTTCAATATATTTACTATGTAATCTAATAATATAAATGAACAAATGTAGACAATTCTTTTCTTTTTCCAGATTACTTTCCATTTTACTTGTCCCTATTGTATCGAAAGAAAAAACAATCATTTGAATACGAATAATTCTAATCAGTCACTTCCGAAAACATTAGATTTGCCAACAGATGATCACAAAGTCATTTCACCAACGAAGCGTGCACTTGTCCATTGGGCAACATCTTTATCTCACCCCTACTTATTGTCTCCATCGTCTACAAAATCTAGAGACTTGCACAAAGTAAATGATGTACATTGTAAGGGGACTCCTAGTTCAATACCCAAAGTAAACGTAACTGATGTATCCGGATGTCAAAACATCGGGGCACTTGATAAATCAAATAGTTTAGTCCCACTAGAATCTTTACCATCATGTTCAGTTGTCAGTAACCATGACCAAGATGTCAGTTCTGATGAAGAAGAATATGATGACGATGATGACAATTACGACAGTGAGGAACACGACAGTGATTGTAATATTCATGTGGAACACAAAGCCACTTTTCCCGTTCCTACCACTAGTTCCCTATCGCGAAATACTAACAGTTCACCTTCTTTATTGGTTCACAAAAGGAATTTTTCGTTAAGACATAGAACAGAAAAATTAAATACATCAATTAAATCAAATCAATCCGTTACTGATGTGATACAAACGCCTAATAAAGTGGAACTAACAAAACCAACAACTGCTGTTGTCCACTACTTTGTAAAACATCCACAATTGAGACGTCAATCATCAGAGGCTACATTAAATCATTCAGTTAGTTGATGAATATATTTAAATGTATTTTTTTGTGTCCAACTATCTTATAATTTTGTACAGACTGCACCATCTCGTGTTTAAAGTTAATAATGAAAACTAAAAGGTAGTAACACATATGTACATCTGATATAAAATCTTTAATTTATCAAGAGACATATCAAGAAACATAATATTATTGTGAATGGATTCTTTATCTTATCAAAATGTATTTTATTAATTTCTATACTTTTATACTTGTAAATATTTTACTGTTTTCTTTCGTTTTTATATATTTTATCAGCTTCACTATACTGAAACCAACTTTTCTGTGTATAGGTTTTGTTCCTCAAGTTGTCAAGTAAAGAACATCTCACTCGATTTTATCAACAGACATTTTCTGATTTCTATGCTTAGCGTAACTGGGACAAAACTTCATTGTATATTGAAATGTAACACTATAACTCAGTATCAATAGCTTAATATTATAGAGGAATGTTATCTTGCTTTTCTCGTTATTTCTAGTATCTAGTTATGTTTATTGCTCTGAAATACACCAATAATAGGTTGACAGGTTATTGAATCGTCAATATTAAAAACCAAATACTGACTGAACTCTTTAAGTAACTTCAACTTCTGTATATGACTTCAAACCTCAGTCAGTCAAGTTATTGCTGAATCTAAAAATAATAGTTTACCTGAGATGTGATGTTTCATGTCTATTACAGTAAATTACACCGTCAGTCTCTATTTTTAAATATACAGTCAGCAATCCAGTTCAATTGTTCCTTTAGTTGTTTCTTCCAGGTGCTTGGAGGGTCGTTTATTGAACTACTTTATTCAGTAATACTTTCAATCACCGCCACTCTTCTCGTAGTGTATGCACGACATTTTCTAATCATGAGGTATGCTTAGTCCAGATGCTATGTGAACGAGCTCTTTTACACCGATCAGTCTGAGCTTTCATAATACTTTCGCCGTTAAGTAGATAACTTCTTCCTAAGAGTTTGCTTATTTCACTTGATGACTTATAGTTCCATAAATGAGTATACTACTCAGTTTTAAAAAAAAACAGTAACGGACTGAATTTTTCTCTCTGATTAAATGGGAACTGGATGATAGGAATGTACGCTTTGGACAGTCTCTAGTTTCTTTATAACCAAAATCCAAACGGTTCAGACATCTCATCTTGACCGAAAAGATCAAGCGCATAATTGCTCACGCAGAGAAAGTGCATGCCGATGTAGAGTAGCACGATCTCCAAACAGCAGTAAAATATCTTAGCAACCTAAACTAAAGGTTTCAAAAACATCAGTTAGTTAAAAACATTCCTATAGACTTCAGTTATGAGCGCGGGAGTTTATATGCAAACTCACATGCCATATCAAATCAATGTTTGGTCTTTTTCTTCGTCATAAGTACTAAAATTATTTCGACTCCTTTGTTATCTATTATGTTGATTTCACCTCATCTTGCTGATATATGGAAGCCTAGGTCAATGCATTTTAGTGCCACACTCTCCATCAATTATAACTTACTGTCTATCATATACAGTATCGAGAAACGACAGCGAGATTAAAATGATGGATCGTTATTTTAAAATAATCAAAAAGATACGGTCATATAATTGAGTTATCAAGCACAAATCTTATCGTTATTCATGGATGTGAGCGTTATCCGATAATTATATTTCTCGGTGTAGCTACACAAGGACTTAGGACACCCAATCTGTCAGTGGCCCACCGGAGATGACTAAATATAGTAACTACAACATGCAAAACTACTGCACCCAAGCAGAAAAACTATATCTAGCACTATTAATAGCTATCAGATCAGAAAATCTTTACACAAACTATCAGCAGAGAAATCGGCTGTCAAACTGAAGCCTAAAACAGGTGTCGTGAGGCAGTAATGGGTGCGATTTTCTGAAAGTCTACAAGTGTCAGTTCTTGAAATGACTGATCAGAAAGTTGTGTTCCAGTCCTGTTGCTGGGATATATTCCGCATAAGTTGAAAACTTATGTTTCAACTATCTTAATTCACGTTTAGGAAACATAAGTTTCAAAAAATTTATCAATTAGGACAGTTAATGTGTGTCATCTGTAATAAATCACGTCCAGATGTCTTGTTGATTGACATAAGAACATGCTTAGATTGGTCAGCTAAACTCATGATATCAGATAATGAATTCATTACACCTAGTGATATGTTGGATAGAAAAAGCAGAATTCCACCCCAAGTTAACTGTACAGGTAGGCGCTCCTGGTACGGATGTGACTACGTTTCATCCTGATCACCACACTATGTACAAGACTCACATCTCGATTCCATTAATTTCTCCGTGTTTCATTGCTAGTGAAGAACACACACATCGTTATTTTTTGCTAGTCATGCCAACACCATGTTTAGTAATTTGGACCAATATGCATCGATAAATACAAGTTCTATGTCGCTTTCGTATCATACAGAAATACAATAACCAGTTCAAGACTCATACACCTCTTTCAGGACGAAATCATTTCTTCCATGTCTATGAGAAACCAATGCATCAGTTATATGAAAGGTAGGCGTGACCCACTTATTTAGTCAAAAGACTAAATAGACATTAAGTTATGAATCTCCACTACTTTCTTGAAGAATGATTTTCAAAATACCGTTGATTTTTGAAGAACTAGTCCTTAAAAGACACTTAAACTGCTACTTAAAGTACTGCTTGGTGAGAATGCTGACAAAATAGTCTTTTGGTAGCCACTGGGCAACAATACCAGGATGTTTGTGATGCGTCCCCCCTTCTAAATACAAGTTGTTGCTTGTGTGTTGTATGTATGCCTGAACACCGATTACCACAATACATAATGCTGACCAGTGCTGGGGATGGTTCGAAGAAAGTTAGGGGCGACTCAACCAAAATGTGGCGTCAGTACCTGAAGTCACTAACTTCTGGTCTGGGTCATGTTGGTATATGCAAACCATTTGATTAGGGTCCATGCGACTATCGTAACCAATGGTTGGAGACTGTGTGATATGGTTCAGAATCGATCACAATAGCGCAGGTAGATACTCTTTGTCTTCCTTTAAACCGTGAGACTAAAATTACTTTATGCCTTTCTTTCTACGAATTAATTTTCTCTCCCTGTACTACATTCTTATACACAATCTTTCTTTTATATATTACTACCACTGACGCAACTACTTCTATGAATTCAGTGTTTATCTTGTTGTGCTAATGAGGTGTGGCAACTTGAACCGATGCATATATGTCTGATCCTACGTTGTAGCTGACTAAAGTCCGTTGCTGAGAAACCAGGTTTATCATTGCAAAAATAATATTTAACTCATTTTTACAAACGGAGAACTAAATTGCAGTTCATCTGGAGTCTTGAATAAGAATCACATAAATATAGCATACATCCATATTACGACTTTCCGAAGATATAGACTTCTTGGCTATCTAGTCTGAATCAGTGTGCGAACGTTAGAGGCCAGCTCACATGGCTTCAAATAAGCCGTATTAGATTTCGTATTCTGTGGGGCGTTCATAAAACCGACTATTCAGCAACTTCAGATCACTTAAACAGAAGTTTTAACGAAATGCTGAGTTGAAGGCTAAAAGTACACTCAGTGGGAATAAAAGAATGTAGTGTAAAGCAAAATCTACATGTAACTAGGTGGTAGTGAATATGGTAAAAACGAAGTAGAAACAATCTCTTCGATGGTTAGCATCAGTTTTCTGAGCTGGGATATTGCACGAACGTCTAAAAGGAAGCACGTATTTTCCTTGAGAGGATATTTCCTGAGATTTAGATCCAGAGGTTTAATCCACTAAGTAATGAGGAAACATCAAATATGGTTTCATAGTAGTCGATGAACGTTTATTCATCCAACCACGATCCTAAACTGTAGACGTATGACTGCATTTCGAGAGGGAGAGTGAAAAACTAGTGACTGACTTCAAGGTGTAACTCCAGGAGTCCAATCCATGTCGGATGTGAGACAGATATTCATCTCAGGCAGCTGATGAATAGTCGCACAAGATTATGGATCGACTGGCTAGAAATTAACACCGTTGAATGCCAGCTTAGCGATCGCGCAGCAAACCAAAAGTCTTAGGTTCGAATTCCGCGTGAGGGACTGTGGGTACGCACTGCTGGGATGAGACGGTCTAGCTTACATCGACCCGTGATTTCAACTGTGGAGAGTGAGATCGCCTAATCCTTGGTCGTACAACGGGGGGGGGGAATTTGAATTAATAGCTTTTTGAAGAGTAATGAGATTTCTCATAGCAAGAAATCATACACACAGAAATTTCTACATCGATTATTGAACAACCTGGGTATGAGCAAGTGAAATACATACTATCCTTAAACGTCTCTTAGTAAATTCATTTGACTCAATTACAGACGTCCTCTTCAAAATAACACTTTCTCCACTTAACTTTTTAGGAGTCTATTTCCAATTATCAACATAGAGTACGCATATGACAGTTCCGATTGAAAACACTGACAAGATCCAGTCTTTTGATCGCGTTCAGCAGCGGTTAGCACGTTCGGGATGGGTTTTTCTCTCTTAATGTAAAATGTTACTTCAGGACTGGTGTGGGTCAAGGACTCAATTAGTGATAGGCAGTGTAATAGTTAAGTGTATCGATTAATTTACCTATCATGGAACTTTCATCAATCCTGGTGGATTGATGTGCAATAAAATCTCGGCTGTTTCTTAATTTGCGCTGTGTTGTAGATGAGATGTCTGTCTGGTGACCAAAGAGCGTGTATCTTGTGCAGCTATCCGTCCAGATCCACTTTATAGCCGTGTCTATTAATATAGAAAACAAAAGCTCAGGCTGTAGAGTTTTGATCAAACGAGTCTTTCAAAGAAGTGCTCGCGTTTCATCAAATGACGGAGTGAGTAATATCGACGTTAAGCTTAGAGTATGTGGGAAAAGTAGCGAATCGGTTGGCGTGGTTCATCCACTAAAATGGTTGGGTCATATGTTATATAAGTCTAACCTCTATTTATCTTGATGGACGATGCTTACTAGTGCGGTATGTTGGAAGACTAGAAGCAGTCAAACTAAAACGTGACATCAATCCATGAAGTCATTGACTACTGGTCTGAACCATAGTGGTAGATACAGAATACCTGGTTAAGGTCCGCATGAAAACCGTGATCATTGGTTGAATGTCCCACAATCGGTCACAGTATTGCAGATACATTTACTCTATCTTTCATTCCATCATGAATCCCAGTATCGCTTCATACATACTTTTCTAACCATATTTATAAAGTGTAGTCATTTTTTTTATTATTGCTAGTAAATTATTTTGATCTCTTTTATTTTTATCTTGTCGTACTAATATAGCATAGCAACTTGGGGTAACGCATTATTGTGCCAGGTTCTATGTTGATGATCTTTGCTTGTTTATGGATATCTCAAACTGAAGTGTTAAAGACTATATCCGAATAGATTATTCCAATAATATTTTTAGACAAACTTAAAATCCTAAAGGATTTTAACTACATAACAACTCAGTTTTGGATCAAAACATCATTCCAATCAAGTAAAGAATGAGGTAAACGTAATAACAAACTGATTAGAAATGTCCAACATTTAGTTAAAAAAAGGAATATACGATACAATTACTGGTCAGTAGAAAAGGTTCACTTGAAATGCAGTTACACGTGCAAAAACCCCACGAATCCAAATGTAGAACCAATAAAAACTAATCAAGAGGGACGCCAATGTGTTGTACATAAATTATAACTCATCTGACTGGTGTGATTCTAAAATAAAATAAGCAAGAAATAATATTAAATATTAATTACTTTTAAGTATCAGTACCAAAAAGAACACCAAACTTGTAGGAATAAATTAACAAACGACTATTCATAAATGTACAGAGTTGTCTTAGTGACTAAGACACCTGAAACTTTCAAAAGGTTTGTGGATTAGACTCATTATTCTAAGCATCGATTATTACAATTACGGACAAGCAACCTGGTTCAAAGCCTTACAACTATGAATGCAAAATTAATTTAAACAGAGCATCAACTACAACTTTTGCGGAATAAAGTGAATTCATTCTATTTCACGGTTTTTCATCAGCTGCATACAACCTTAAGTTACAAATATTAATATAATTACCAACAAATGTTTGATACACTTTAGTTTGCGAAGTTTAGATAGATGTTCGACACGTAACTAAGATTATTATAACAGGAAAGAGAGCGTATGAATAAACATAGATCGATGAGTATTTGTATGTTACAAAGTAATAATCCAGAGTAGGATAGGTGAAAAAATTACTAATTCAGTACAACATAAGCAAATTATTTTAAATATAATAATGACTGCTGAGCGATACATGTATTAAGCTTTATAGGTTAATACAATAAGGTGAAAATTAACAATGAAGTATAATTTTCGAGGTCTTGGGGTTACTATACATTGCTTGCAGATATTTGATTATCTATCCACACTTCGGAATCGGAAGAGACTATTAATTGACCATTTGGTCAATGGATAGTGAGAAGAAATGTACGAAAAACAATGTTTTTAAGATTAATTTCAACTGGTTATTTTCTTAGTTAAAGAGAATATTGACTTTATACTAAACGTTGGAGAAACTTGTAATGACCCAGTATCAAGTAAATTATTACATTTAGGAGTTTACTACACTGATAGATAATCTTCAAAACCACACCGGGTATCCATCAGAATACAAGTTTAAAAATTTGTATGATGTTGAAAGCACATTAAAAATTATGGTGGTTACGAGTCTACAAAATTGATCCTTGACTACTAGTGATGTCACAAACATTTGTGCATTCTAGAAACGTTTAGGGGACAAAGCTGAACACGTATAAAAGGTTTTGTGTGATATCAACAGTATTTTGAAAATGCAAAGAGACAATCTTAGTTCAAACCTGGTGAATGTTTTGGTTGATTTGGAGATTTTTCATCCAAGCACCCTGAAAAAAATATGCCAATTCGTTAGTTTATTGAAAAAATAAATCACAGAAGCGAAACTACAACTGGTAGGTCGGTTAAATGTACACGTCAAAGCTTGAGATAGTAGCACTGATTTAAGGAAGTGACAAGAACAAATTAATAAACAAAGCCAAATGATCTCCCGTACTACCTTTGAACTTTTGCTATAAGTTCATTATTACTGGGTTTTTTCTCAGTGTTTTATTATTTTATTTTAACACATAGGTATTGGTACAAGGAGGCACCAAATACATACGCGCCACACGAATCTAAATTGATTTGTGTGAGGGCTGTGATACTGCCCGGGTGCCCAAACCGAAGCAGGTGGTTTTCTTAGGGGGCCACACCCCGAGCCTTTGACCTGAACGTCTGATCCATAAGGCAGTGGAGCATCGTAAGGAGATGCAGTCCCATGGTAGCCGGTGACCAACGATTGGTTCATACGCCATTTGTTCCTTCAGGATACTGGAGCCCATGTTCACTTCATATTGTCAAGATATTTTCACGTTGAAGGTTTAATACATTGGTGTGAAGCACTTTACCTCAAGATAAACTCCAGCCACAAAATTTCCATTATATTTAAAGTTATCACTAACATGGTTACAAACACACTAAACACATAATTTAGAAATCTCCAAAGATGTTATTCTCATTGGAACCACTGATGTTATCTTTGCGAAGAAACCAACAGAACTGTGACCTATAATCTCCTGGGAATTAATAAACATGTGACTATTTGTCCCATTAGATAGGAGTTAAGTAGATCAACTTGCAAATAAATTGGCTCCATTCATGAACTGTAGATGACTTAATCATGACTGCTGTTAGGAAGTACGATGAAGTTTGGGGTTGATTTGTGGTTTTGTATTGTTTAATAACTAGATGATTGGGCATGTAGTCCCCACAAAGCATTGGAAAACTAGTGAACGAATGTTCATGAAATATTTACCGTTTATTGATTTAAGAAAGATATACTTTCAATGAAATTTTATTCATTAGTGCATAAAACAGTTACGAGTTGGACTCTCATTGCACACTGAGCCATGATTAATATAGAACGAAGCTTTATATCTTCAGCATCGGATTGTTTTTGCTATTAAGTGGACTAGTGATCTATATAATCAGGTTTAACTCACATTTGCCTTTCCTAGTTTATTTGATATTAGTTTTAATGATTATTTAGTGTGATAACCTGAACTGTTGTATATGGCTCCCTTTCAATTTTATCAAAACAATGTTTTTTTTAAAAAAACAATAAGGTTAGCACTTCCTAATACATAAATAACGCGTGATAGCGTTTTTCTCCGTGACTTCTTGACTTAGTAATTATTTCGAAAGTTAATCTGAAATATCATATTACAAACATATTTAAAATAAAATATCAACTTTTCGTCTGAAATGTATTTATATCCAACGAATCAACAACATCCATTTGAAAATGTTTTGATGAACAATAGTTATGTTTTTAATCGAGTCTGTCGTATTATTTTGTTAAAGGACAATGTTGTATTGTTGCTGAAAGGAAATGCTAAGTTATTGTTATTTAAAGGCTTTAGTGATTATGATCGACAAGTGCATAGAAAGAGCAGTATGTGAAACGCGAGTTAACTAGACGAAAAATATGGATTTATGTACTTAAGAGCAAGTTTTCCATCATGGATTTATAGCAGTTTAGCACGAATTAATGAAGCAAATAACTTGATATTTGTAAGAAACTGTTTGCTTAGCATTATATACAAACCTTTTATGATGTGCTGAAACAAACAGGTGATTTTTATTTTGTAAAAAAAGACAACTTTTAATCCCCAAATTTTGTAGAAATCTACATAAGTGAAGTTTAGTGGTTTCTAAATGTTAAGAAGGCTTGTAATAAATGATTGTTTATATACTCACTCAAATTTCGAATCTTTCCTTGACCATCACGATTTTGGCAACCACATAAAATTACTTTCACATAAAGTATGTAATTAATAATCTAGTGATTTTCGTGCACTTGATTTAGAACTCGCTGACAATAAACGAAACTAAGTCATATTTTACTGACCGGGGAATTTATTATTTTACTTGAAATACAAAGTAAAAATGCACTCGGAACTCGATCAGAAGGTTACAAATGTCACATATAAGAAACATTTTGTTGAGACTGATCATCACGAATAAACCGAAAAATCACGTTTAAGAAAGTACTAACCTTGAGAAGATTTGTCTAGAACGTTTTCACGGCAAAGGTAATCATAAAGATTTATATTTTGATTGTTGTAAAACCATTCTTCTATAATGTCTTGGTATTCATTAACAAGTGGGATACACTTCTAAATTAAGCACTACTCAGTAGACATACCTCCTTGAATAAGGTTGTGACTTCTGCAGGCGGTTTATCCCACAGCTCAAAAGGGACATCCAGCTTCACATCAACGCCACGGTTTCTGTCAAAACTAAAGGAACATTAAAAGCGACATACACTAGTTCCGTAAGGGACTTCATTGTCTGAGGTGTATCTTTATCAAATCTGCTACTATCTTGACGCTCTTTATGAACTTTGTACTGAAGTAACCTGTTGCAAATAGGAGGATCTTCCAGAACTTCATAAAGTCTGAGTTCCCTAATAAGTGATAAAGTAAACTAAGGTCAAGACCAACGATGTTTCATATTTAACCTTCTTTGAATCCCCTTGGACAGATTTCACATTTAGAGTATCACTTGACTTGGTTTCTTGAAGACGAGACAGAATTTCTGTTACAAGAAACTTGCAAACTACACTTTAGACCAAATCAGTGCCCAACCTTCACATTTAGATGGTAAGACGATATCAGTCATAGGGTCCCCTCTAACAAATGTAAGAAAGATCAGGAAGGAGAGGAGAAACAAAATCATGACACTAACACTGCTTCCCTGTCAATTACAGTTAAATCAGAGACTAGGGTGTGTATGGCTGGTGCTGTAGGTCTAACAAGCCGACATAAGACTGAAAAATAACAGGGAAAAAACAGAAGTCAACAACTTATAAAACATACGGAGACACATATAAAAGCATTAATACAAGCTAACAAAACCTTTACTCAAAACCAACTAGTGAAACAAGCTGACACGAATCCAAAGAATGTTTTATTAATCAGGAACCATAAATCTAGACATTAGTCGAAAAGATGTACATACGCAGTCGTGCTTTGGAAATGTTCCGAACAGAATAATGCTATTCTAGTTCATAACGACATAAAAAAGTGCAACTATCAGCTACATGAAAACTTCAGTAGCATTTTCTTAGGAAACAAAGTGATACATTACAGAATTCTCTCAATGTGCGTGAAAATTTCAGGAAAAATCCCCACTTAATAGGGATTTTTAGGCAAAATCCCATACTCGGCTAATTATAGTTTTCGTGTTACATTTTCTTAGGACCCATCCAAAGATTTCAGAGAGACTATTCCGAAATCCGCCAATTTCGTCTTAAAGTTATGAGCTTGGGTATTTTAAATTCTAGAACAAGTCTGAAGATAAAACTCCATGGTTTCACCAAAAGATCTGTGGAAAGTTTGGGTCTAGCCTAGGCTTTATCATAAACGAGAGGATGATATACGTAACATCCCAAAAATAGCTTTCTTGACCTTCACTATAGATAAGTACTATTATCTGGCAAATATGTTTGCCAGTAATGCCTCACTGCTAGTCTCACGCAGTGTAGCAACGTGTCAATAATCACACAGAGATACAATCGAACTGAGAAGGCTGATTTCCATCGCATTTCTTAATTCTTTAAAGAGTACCGTCCAATGGGATGTACGTTGCTTATGAATCACAATAACATTGTGATGCAATTTGGAGGCTTCATCATTACGTGTTGCTTTCAGACAATTTGAACATACGTGGGAAGTGTATGAATTTTATTGTCGTTATTAATATAATCCCGTCTTTTAGTAATAAAAGTATGATAATACCATGGAGAACCAGGCCTTTTGTGGTTACTTTGAGAAAGTGACAAGGGTTAAAAAGGTAAAGGAGGAAATCAGTAAGCCTCAGCCTATCATCTTGCCTTGAACTTGGTGTTGTTCCCGCCAAATGAGTTAGCGCTTGGTAAGTTTTCATTTAACTTCATACATATAAATATGTAATGAAGTGTGTTTTCAAGTCAGAAGCCTCTGTATTGGGTAGTAAAAATATCATCCGTTTATTCATATTTCAGGAGCCCCAGGGCTCAGTACTAGGACCTCTTATCTTCCTGATTTATATAAATAATCTTCCTCAACAGGTAACGTCAGACTTATTACTTTTTGCTGATGATGTGAAACTTTGGAGAGAGATACGCAACCAAGAGGATATACTGGCAATTTGGGATGATCTGACTCGACTTCAAAGTTGGGTAGACGACAACGGACTTACCTTTAACACTTCAAAGTGTAAAGTAGTCCAGATGCGACACGTCGCGGATTGCAGTGACAACTTGAGAATCACCTCTCTAGTAGTATCCCGAGTCGAAAAAGATTTAGTTCTGGTGCCCTACGAATTAAAGTCTTACACTAACTGAGACAGAAATGCCTTTCGAGCAAACCTTACACTGGTAACATTGAAGCGCATTTTTGGCCAGTTTGATGGGAGAACTTTCCACATAATCTTCAACAGTTTGATTCGTCCCCATTTAGAGTACGCAAACGTAGTATTTTCTCCCTCATTCCAAAATGATAAGGACACTCTGAAGCGTATCCAAAGGCGAGCCACGAAACTAATTCGGAGACTCAAACCCAAGCTTTATGAAGAGCGCCTCCAGTCACTTAACCTGTACCCATTAGAGTATAGGCATCTTAGAAATGACCTTCTAATGGCTAGCAGTATCCTTAACACTTCTGGACATCCTCTTAAACACCTACTTAAGCTTAGTCCCGACACTAACTTAAGGGGTAATACCCAGAAATTGGAGATACAACATAGTAGAACGGACTGCAGGCACAACTTCTACTCCTTAAGAGTTGTCAACTGCTGGAATTCGTCGCCGAATGAGCTAGTCCAGGCAACTTACCAGGAGTTCTTTAAGAGGCGACTTGATCTATTCTTAAAGACTAAGGATAGCATCTTACTATGATTTACCAATTTTCTTTTTTTTTCTCTTTTATCGTTAAAATACCTAGGTTCTTGCCTGGAGGTATTGGTGATCCCCTGCTACTAGACACGGAAGCCTGTTAAGCGAAAGCTTCTTCTATTCCGTCTACAAGCATTTGAACCATTTGAACGTTAACTGAAAAATAGGTTTCAATCTAAACTTTATTCGGCAGAGGTGGTGAACTATGAAGCTGGAGTATGTTGTTCGTTACTGAGGAACATCATAATAGTTGCACCTTTAATAGAAACCGGTGGATTAAATAATCTGATTAATGATGGAAGTGGTCAGAGTGTTGCGCTTAAAATAATCCCCTTTGGTACCTACATAACCAAAGTGGCCGTCCAGTTTTTTTAAAAATTTAACGGAGGATCCAGTCAATGCAGCTTGTGGTGATGGGTCCCATAAGAATTTCGATTAGAGTCCTTTCTTGTTCTAATGTAGTTGGTGTTCTCATAAAAGTAAATTGTTGCTGGAATGTAATACTGGTCTCTTCGGGTGGAAAGACCCATACGAGTTGAAATACATCTTCTCCACATCTCTCCTGATCCTCCAACATTGCTTGTCTGTACATTAAGAGAATCCATGATAGATGAGTATGGTTTACAACTTGGCTCCAACACATTATCAGTTACCCTACTTGGAATGTATCATGGGTACTCAATATCGCTCCTAAGGTAAAGATAAGTACTGTCTAATACCAGTGTAGGGCTAAATGAATCTTTGAAATCAATAGCTCCTTAAGTCTTCAATATTTGATGCTGACCGCACAATCTAATGAAATGCGTGTCTTTCGTGAAACCTTTAGCAGATTAATTATGTGGAAATGAGAAATCCAACAATCTGGACGATCTTGCATTCATCGTAGTTGATGAACTAATCGCCAAAGCGACTGTGCTCGCACAACATAACACCGAGGCATCCATTAGTATCTCAGTAAAAACATCCTTCTTGGAAATGTTAGAAGTCTTACAATAATGGGTTAATCACACCTGGTACTTGGCAATCTTCTCGGGACGGTTGCTAGACACGGAATCCGGGTATGGCACTTTTGGTAGGGTACTTTTTACACTCCGTGGAAGGCTGAGAACTCACTCTTTTCACTGACAACAAACCCTTACTTTCTCTTTAAGTTCACCTTCAGACGAAAATCCCCCTTCAATGTCCCGACAACCGGACTGCATTTCACGGTCTACTTCAGATATACAACACATTTCTGGAGCGCACAATATAGTTGCAGATGATTTGTCTCGCGTTACTTCCTTAGACAGTTTTCAATGTAACAGCGATATTAAACTCGTCCAGCTTCAAAAGGAAGACATTGATTTGCAGCACGAGTTATCTTCTACAACGTTCAAATCACGTATAAAAAACGGATGCAAACAGTTAAGGAAACTTACTATGCGACACATATACAGTTAGGGATCTTCAAATTGTGCCAACCACTATCGACTCAACGTCTTCAATACGTTGCACAAACTTTCTTATCCACATGTTTGTGCAACTATCAAGCTCATTATAGAATGATTTTGCTGACCTGGAATGAATAAAGACATAAGGTGTTGGACACGCTCCTGTGTAAACTGCCATAAATCAAAGTTGATTAGATACGAAAAATGTTCCTTAGCTTCATTCAAAACCCCCGATATTCTTTTCGACCATGATCATCTGTATTTGGTAGGACCTTTACAAAATTCAAATGTATACACTTATCTCTTAACTTGTGTAGACCATTTCACTCGATGGCCATAAGCAGTACCCATCAAGGACATTACTGCCGAAACAGTGGCCTGCGCCTTCGTCGAATAGTGGGTAGCAAACCTCGATTATCACTACAGACCGTCGACGCTAGTTCGAATCTGGACTTTTCCGTTGTCTGACCACACTATTAGTAATCGCACGATCTTCCGAACGACAGCCTACCACTCACAAGCAAACGGGTTAGTAGGCCGCTTTTACCGACAGCAAAAAGCTCCCCTATCAGCTGCAAGCCTTTCACGATGGACCGACACTCTTTCACTCATCTTACTCGGTATTTGCAATGCAGTGACATTGGATACATTGCAGCACATCTAGTTTACGGAAAGACACTCCTATTGCCAGGAGAATTCGCGGATCCTTCATCATTTTCGATTGCGCCCATAGCTCTTCTAAAGATTTGACGGTCCAACACACGAGGAGTTGTACTGGTACTCCCGATAGAAACATGTAATGCACTTAAAGGATGGGAATCTCACGGATCCAGAATAATCAATACATCAGAACAAAGAAGGAGGGAATCACAATAAATATTATCCATTGCTATGCATCCGTCGATGATAGTAACGACGGCAAAAATAATCAGTTCTACGAAAGACCCTAATCAATCATAGCGAAGTGCCCAAGAAAGAATCCCACCATTCTAATGGGAGATCTAAACGCCGAAGTCGGAACGGACAACACCGATATGAAGATATCATAGGACGAAATGGACTGAGAGAAAGAAATGAGAATAGTAACAAATTCGCAGATCTATGTGTATTCAACGAAATGGTCATAGGAGGCGAAATATCTCCACACAAACGTATACACAAAGCTACATGGATCGCATCGAACCATACCACAGAGAACCAGATAGATCATATTTGCATCAATAAAAAAACTCCCAAGGACAATGGAAGATGTGAGAACCAGGCGAAAAACTGGCACAGCTTCAGATCATCACCTGGTGGTGGCGAAGATGAAACTGAAGCTAAAGAAACATTGGACAACTGGGGGAACAGTCATACAAAGGTTCAATACAGCCTTCCTTTGAGATACTAAAAAACTCAATGAATTCAAAATAACTCTCAACAACAGGTTCCAAAACTTACAGGATCCACTGAAAGAAGAGGAAATATACGATGGAGGACAAATGGAAAGGGTTAAATGAAGCACTAGCTCTAACATGCCAGTAGGTGCTTGGCCACAACAAGCATTATCATAAGGAATGGATCTCTATCGAACCCATGTACCAGATTAAGGTAACAAAGAACAAGAAGACAGCAATTATTAATAGACGAAGAAAAACAGAATAGTTCAATGCACAAGCAGAATTCGCTGAAGAAGACAAGCAAGTGAAGTGGAGCAATAGAGCTGACAAGCAGAAACCCGTGGAAGATCGAGCAACCACAGCGTAAAACGCTGCAACAAAAGGAATTATGAGACGACTATATGAATCAACGAAAAGACTAGCAAAGAAATATGGCAAACCAGAGAGACCAGTCAAGATCAAAGAACGCAAGTCAACCACTGTTACGGGAGAACTGAAGACATTTGGCTGAATAAAACCTTTATATTAAATATCATTAATTTCACTGTTTCTGGATGCATTTGTTTCACTTAACTTCTGAACTTGTTTGTTTATATCATTGTTTTCGAACATTTCGGTTTCTCTTTGTATTTGCTTGGTATTTGGGAGTTTTTGCTCCAGGAACCTAAAAAATTGAAGAACTTTATGTTACGTCCTAGTTTTCGCTTCTTCTCGTTATTGAAGTACGGTATGTCGATTTATTTGCAATGTACGAACCCAAATTAACGACAGAACCAAACTCCAAATAAGGTACCAAAGTTTATTCGCAATTTACAAATAGTCGACCCAAAAGTCGTTCTTCAGCTTTGTACGTTCCTGGAGCAAAAACTCTCAAATACCAGACAAATACAAAGAGAAACCAAAATGTTCTAAAACAGGGATATAAACAAACAAGTTCAGAAGTTAAGTGAAACAAATGCATCCAGAAACACAGTGAAATTAATGATATTTAATATAAAGGTTTTAATCAGCCAAATGTCTTCAGTTCTCCCGTAACAACCACTGAGATTCAATAACAGAATGACAGATGGGCAGAACATTTTGAGGAACTCTTGAACAGACCAGCTCCATTGAATTCACCAGACATCGAAACAGCACCCACATACCTTCCAATGGCTGTTAATTCACCGATGATCGAAAAAATCAGGATAGATATCAGACAAA